ACAAACATTTCGCCCCATAATAATTCTCTGTTTCAATATATAATACAAACCATACCTACAATCATAACTATACCCTCGCCCAAATATAACACGCCTCTCCGCTAAGCCTGACTTGTAGGTTACACGACATACCCGTTTGTCAAGCGACTGACTCGCCATTTCGCCCGTGTCACTAGATTACGTAACGGATTAATATGCAAATCACATCATTTAGCCACTAATTTTTATCGTTACATAAATTTTACTTATCGGGAGAATGAGCGGAGGAAGTAATCGAATTAAAAACATTGAATTTAATGGGTATCTTTTACGTGAGTACATATTAAAGAAATTTACAAAATTTTACAATTTTACATATCAGTTTTATTAAATTCAAAATCCACCAAATTCAGTAAATTTTCTAAATTTACCCAATTTTAGAAAACTTAGAAAACTTTAATTTTCCAATTTTCCAAGAATTTTCGTCGATCGGGATTTTCACTGCATAGGCGTATATATGCACGTACGTACGTACGAACTTACGTATGTATATACGAACGCATGTACGTATACAAGAACGTACGCATACACGTATGAAACATACGTATACACGTTCGTAGGAACGTACGTACGTATTTAAGAACGTATGCATACACGTACGAACATACGTATCCACGTACGTAGGAACTTACATAAGAAATCATAAAATTTATAAATTGAGTCGATATTCTTTTTATCTATGTGAGGTTTTTAGTTACGTGAGAAAAGAAAAAAAATACAAAATGGCACAAGACTCAACTGACATTAAAGAAACCATTGGAGCTCTTGACGATTATGTTCTTCTAGGACGTAGTGGCTTAAGAATTTCTCCTCTGTGTCTTGGAGCATTGGTACTGTATAATTTTTAATTTCTGATATCATCATAATTAGTCTTCTTAAATTAATTTTTTTTTAATGGCTTCAAATCAAGACTTTTGGCGAAAAATTTGTAAGACATTTCTCTTTGACATGCTTCTGTATGTTGTTTCAATATAAAATTATATGCGCTTATAACATTGAATAGGGATTAGGTTCGAATTATGAGGAATCAAAGAAGGTATTCGACTATTATTATGAAAAAGGCGGAAATTTCTTCGGTATATTTATATATGTTCTACATGTTATAAATCGGTTTCGCAATGATTGTTTGTTTTTTTCAAATTTAAACTTTTAAACCTTTTAATCTTTTAATCAACTTTCAACTAATAAATAACGTTGTAAAAATTATATATTTGATAAATTCGTCAGTCTCTGTATTAGTTTTGTGATGAAACTTATCAAGTTGTTAAACTAATTCAAAAACTAGCGATATTTATTTAAGTGTTGATTAAGACTACAAATATTCTCAAGACCGATTTACAAATATTGCAGGACCGATTAAATAATTTAGAGTACATAATGCGTTATTTAATAATAATTGAACTCACAAGATGTTTATTATTTTAGATACTGCTAACGCATATAATTTTGGCGAGGTAATGATGAATATTGATTATAAAACGGTCGCACACACTCTCTAGTAGATGTAATATCCTAACTGTTCATTTTTGTTATATAACTAAAAGAGTGAACAATTTCTTGGAGAATATATCGCTGATAAACGTTCCCAAGTTGTAATCGCTACAAAATATACTGGTATATTAATATGATTATTTGTTTCATCATAAAAATCCTTTATTTCTGTCATGTTATTTACATCTTCATAAATTTTTATTTAGAAAATCCTACTGGTTTAATGCCAAATGTCAGATTTAACCCGAATGCTGGTAATTTTTATTATTCATATTATGGAATTATATATATTGATATAAGTTCTTAATATGTTTCTATTTTAAAGGTGGAAATCACCGCAAATCTCTTGTCGAAAACCTTGATCAAAGCCTTAAACGACTGGGAACTGGATATATTGATCTTATGTATGTTCATGCTTGGGAATTTCGTACACCTATTGAGGAAATGATGCGTTCTTTAGATGATGTTGTTAGAAGTGGCAAGGTAGGCTACTTGAAATTTAATTATTAGTAAATTGATATAATTAGTATGGCTGTTTGCATAATTCTGTAGTTATTAATTAACATTTTAATTAACGTTTAATAAAAAATTTTTAAGGTGCTTTATATCGCAATTAGTGATGCACCAGCATGGGTAGTTAGTCGTGCTAATACGATGGCTGAGTTACGTGGTTGGAGGTAAACTATTCATATAATGATATATTATATTTCTTATTGTCAATGGAGGGTAATAAAATTTTTTAATGTATATAAGTCAATTTATTGGATTGCAAACACGATATAATTTATTAAATCGTTCTTTGGAATGTGATATACAAACTGCTTGTGCTGAACTTGATGTATGTAAATAAGTTTTAATATTGTATTATTTTACTCAAATGTGATTTCAAGTTTGATGATGGCATTTGTTAATTTGTATCATAAAGGTTGGAATTATTCCTTGGGGATGTATCGCTGAAGGGTAATTATAATAACTTTTTTTTTTTTTTTACCGTGTTTAATTTTTTATGTAATTGTGCACGAGTTGATCTATGCCGATACTGATTTCGGTTTATTTCACATAGATTCTTGACCGGAAAATACACCAGAGAATCAGCTGCTAAGTTAGAAATACCTGATAGCTTGAGAAGTGAACGTGTTTACTCGATTAAAAGATCTGCAGAAAATGAGAAAAATTGGAAAATCCTTGATGAAGTCATGGCTATCGCTACTGAAACCAAGAGAACTCCTGTTCAAGTAATTTTATTAACTAGATTGTTTATAATTACTTAGATATTTTTTTTGGTTATTTATTTAATTTTTTTAAAAAAATTAAAAGGTTGCTTTAAATTGGATCTCACAAAAACCTGGTATTACTTCTCCTATAATTGGTGCTAGAACAAAAGCTCAGTTAGTTGAAAATCTTGGAGCTCTTGAATTCAAGTAAATTTTTTTTTTTATAAAATTCCGTTATCTTTGTGTTAAATTGTTCCTTTACTTATCATTTATATTATAATTTAAATAAATAGATTAACACCTGAACAAATGGCAAGGTTAGATGATGTTTCATCACCAAATGAAATACCATTTCCATATTCTATATATTCGAATTTTGAGAAATATATTGGTAAAGGAATGCAAATTCCTGAAAAATTTAAACCCGCTTTTATGCTGGGTGCACAAGAAAAATTGTAAGTGGAATGACTTTGACCAGAGACGTATGTATCCTTCACGTCTGTGCATGCATCCATAAATATATATTTTTATACTGTAACTAGGCGCTTGAGTTGCTTAAAGAAGTTAGTAGTGAGTGTAATATATTGTATCATGCCAGTACATCATATAACAGATTTTAATAAACATTTATACATTTATATTTAAATTAACAAATCTTGAATAAATATACTTGATGGGTGAATGATAACTTTTATTTTACTATTTCTATTAATATCAAATTTATTATTATTTATTATATCTACAAAATAATAGCATAAATACTAAATCGATGATCAAAAATATATTAACAATTAAAAAAAGAATTATCACTCGCTTGGTACTTAATGTCTTTAATTATCACTCATTATAACATCATATATAAGTAGATCTTATATCAATACTAATATCTAAGCGATCAATTATTTTTATATGCGAAGATAAACGTTATCTCGAAGCTAGAAATGGCTTTTACAATGTTATTATTATTATTATTAAAACATTGCATCCTAAAAAGTAAACTAAAATTTAGAGCATAAAATAAGTTACCCAAGCGATTGATTTAGTTCTTTAAGCCGTAAGAATTTGCAAATTCTAAAAAGTTGAAATAATAGTTCGTCAATAAAAATTTATTTTTTAAAAAAACATTTGAATTAATGCTTAAAATACTTAGCTTTGGCGCATAAAAATAATGCGAATGTTAAAAAAGTATAATAAAGTAATCCTATGTGTAATTTCAGTACCAGAGCCTAGGATGTGTACTGATTTCACATCATATTCATACCCAACCAGTCTCTCTTGTATCTCCCTTATAAGAGTAGGTTGTTCTTCTACGTAGAGATAGAAATCAGTTTTCAAAATTTTTAAAAGTTAATAAAAATCGATTCGTCGGAATCGATCTTCTATAAACTTTTTAAAATTTTAAAAGTTGATTTCATTGTTTCTACGTAAGAAGCTTTCCTTAGTTTGCTAACAATTTCTCTATCCCCAAATTTTTCGACTGTTTTAATTAAGGAAGAAACGTAACCAGCTCTTTCTCAAGAACCAGTAGACCTTAAACAGGGGAGATGAAAAATATTAGGTGTCAAAGAAAAGGAAGCAAACTAAGTGAAAAAAAACAATACCTAGTATATCAAATTTATATTGTTTTAATTATTACTAAACATTATGTAATGTTGATCAATATTCAACATTTACATCATTTTGCGCGTTTTTCAAGTGGCTAATTTCCTTTTCAGGCCTGTATAACGCACAAAATAAATACGCACCTACGTACAGTTACCCGATATTGAAAATGGTTTTTTATTGCCGTTGTCTAAAAAAAAACAACCAGTTTTAAAAAATCTGAGGCAGTTGTGCACAAACAACACCTACGTTACACGAGTTTAGAAAAATCGCTTACTGACGTACGTACATACGTATTATGTATTATCAGTTATTAGCTTTATATGTATTTTAATCTTAATTATTGACAGACGTTTAATCTTTCTTTGAGCGATCACTAGATTTGCATATTGAAAAAATACATATAATCATTTGTATATTACTCATAATTTTGTCGTTAGCATAATGTTACCCTTCATCGCTCGTAGTTTTAAGCTAGGTTAGTCGTGGTCTCGTGACCACTGACTGTCTCTATATGTTGTAGTTTAAAGTCAGACTGATAATATTTATCGTTGCATCATATATTAGCGTTAATATTCGATAAATTATAATAATATGGCCTGTACAATGTATTTAAACAGTAAGTGCGTACGTAAAAATTTTGATTATCCGTTATCTTGTTACATCTTATTTTGACAAGGTCGGAACGGTCAGCAATCACGAGACTGCAACATTTTCCCGTCATGACTAACTTATTTTACTGTGAAGATACTCATTATTATTATTATCATAAGATTTATGTAGAATTTTCAAATTTCAAAATTATCAACAGGTTTTAAGATTTGATAGATTTGGAGTTTTCAAGTAAACATTCGCTACTTAATCCTCATACACCAATCATTTTTAACATTTTTTGTGAACTAGTATACAACGTTAACTCTTCAACATTTTAAGAACTAAATTTATACAAATTTAATTCATGCCTTATCTTTAAGGATACATTGGTCCGATCGGTCCTTCCCAGTCTTTAGGAGGTCATATTTAATAAGTAAAACATCTGAGATCAATAAAAAATTTAAAACCAACGAAACAGTCACTTTGTAAAAATCGCGTTTATCTTAAAACTTTTGGTAGTAAACCTCTCTGTAGTTCTAATAAAAAAATCCCTCGCGCAATTTACTACTAGCCAGCATTTAGTAACCTTTAAATACGCACAAACTCAAACAAAAAGAGCCTTTTTGTTCGAAAATAATTGTCTTCGGAAATTCACGTGAATGGATTGCGTAATCGTGTAACATTCGTGTTTCAGTTATTCTGCAAATCCCGTGCCAAAATTTATTAATATATAGCCTCGACGGACCTCTGTAAGATGCAATATTCACACACACAACATATTCTAGTATTATGTTCATTTCTTACCATATAGCCCGTCGTTCAATGATGGGCTAAGTACTAGTTTAATAATACGTATTTAGAGAAATGAAGATAATAAGCAACTGTCAAACAGTGGTTTTCCTAGTCAATTCTTCGTTTACGTATCTGGTTTAGTCTGGTCTCGGTCCAAAGTCGGCCCTTTAAGAAGTACATTATATCATTTATTAAGAATGATCTCTAAAAGAGTAAGAAAGATGCAATCTGTAGATCATATATGTATTGAATTTACCTGCTTTAGTGTTAGTGTACCCCAACAGGGCCAAAACAAATAGCGCACCATTACCCATCCATTGTTTAAAGTGTCTTTTTAGATAGTTCAAAATTAGTAGTTAATCTATTGCAAACAATTACTGTAGATAACAATAATACGAATCCCAGAATTTACTAGTCCGTCGTTTTAAACTAAATACGTAATAAAGATGTAATTATATTTTGTGCAACATAACCTGCATTATTTATAAAAGGAAATTCACACCTCATGATTATATATAAGTAACGTAAATTGTCAATGATCATCTAAAATTTTCCTTTTTTAAAAAATGATACCATTATCAAACGAATGTTTTCTTGAAATATTCAAATATTTACAATATAAAAGTTTATTTTCTTGTATTCTAGTAAGTCGTCAATGGTGTCGATTTATTGCACCAATTTTATGGAGCAAACCTTTAAAAGATTTTAATGATGCAAGAATTATAAGAATATACCTTTCGTTATTAAATACTGAAGAACAATTTCCCTTAATCCCATTTGAAATAATACTTCCAAATGGACCAAAACCATTGATTAATTACGCTACTTTTATTGTTTCTTTTGAGGACTCTCATCTTAGTGAATCAATAATAGATTGGGTTGATAATGAAGGTCGTGGTCCTCGAGATTTAACAGATTATGATGATGAATATTTTAATACTAGTTTGAATATGGTTCAAACAATCAAATGTTCATTGGTTGCAATGCTTTTACGAACAAGTGAAAGGCTTAAATCTATTAGTTTTTATGGTTATGATTATGGTCTATTTACAAAAAATTTAGTAGAAACCCTTTATAGAAATACAACTATTACCGATATTTGTCTTGAATGGCTTGATCGTGATTATGATGATGCAAAAGCAATAGCGAATGCTCTTCTTAAAAACATTACACTTAAATCCTTAAATATTAGATATATAAATAGTCCTGAAATTGGAAAATTATTAGTTGAGGCACTTTACGAAAACACTACTCTTTCATCTTTAAGCCTTCATTGTAGTCATCTTGGGGATGAAGTTGGAAAGGCGTTAGCAAATATACTTTCTAAAGGCTCTACTTTAACATTTTTGGATCTTAATTGCAGTCATCTTGGTGTTGATAGCGTAAAAATGTTGGCAGATGCTCTTTGCAATAATACATCTCTGACTTTATTGAATCTTGGTAATATCAGCTTTGGCGTTAGAGGAGGGAAAGCAATTGCGGTAGCCCTTGGAAAAAACATTACACTTACCTCTTTAGATCTTAGAAATAATCATATATGTGCTGAAGGTGCAAAAATATTAGCAAATGCACTTTGTGAAAACACTTCTTTGACTTATTTAAATCTTGAAAGTAATCGACTTGGGGTTGAAGGAACGAAGCTATTGGCAGCTGCGCTTTGTAAAAATAATTCGCTAATTTCTTTGAATCTTGCTAATAATCATGTTGGTGTTGAAGGAGGAAAATCATTAGCAGAAGTTCTTTGTAAGAATACAACTATTACTTCCTTAGAGCTAAGTGGTAACGAAATTGGTTCCGAAGGTGGAATATCATTAGCTAAAGCTCTTGGCAAAAATACGACACTCGAGTCTTTAAATATTTCTGATAATTTGCTTAACCCTAAAGTAGGAAAAGCGTTTGCTATAGCGCTTTGTGAAAATATAACACTCACAGACCTAAACCTTTGTAGAAATTACCTTGGTAAAGAAGGTGGACAAGAACTGGCAGAGGCACTTTACCGAAACACTACTCTTATCTCTTTAAATCTTCGGAATAATCAACTTTATACAGAAGGAGGGAATGCATTAGCAGACGCTCTATGTAGTAACATTGGACTTAAGTCCTTAGATCTTGCTAGTAACGGATTTTATCTTGAAGTAATAGAGAAATTAGCAGAGGCTCTTTGTGAAAACTCAACTCTTACCTCTTTAAATATTTGTGATAATATTCTTTATGCAGATGAAGGGAAAGCATTAGCGTGGGCACTTCGAACAAACAAATCCTTAACATCATTAGATATTTCTATTTGTCAAATTGATTGTGAAGATGTTATAAATGAAATTGCTAAAGCTCTAAACAAAAATGTAACTTTAACTTCTTTGTATATTCATTATAGATATAATCCTTGTATTAGAATTGATGAATATTTTGAAAGTTATAGTAATTATGCTGAACCTGATGATTCCGAAGAATCAGACGCATATAAAGTGATTGAAGATATGTTGAAAAGGAGTAGGAAAAAGATTAGAAAAGATATTAAAATTACTTTTGGATATTAATATTACTTTTAAATAATAAACTAAATAATTGTTATACGGCAATAGAAATATTGGTAGCAATAAATTTTTGTTATAATTTTCTATATATATAAAGATTCGAAGTGCAAACTCATTATTGAATTCAATTATTATTACTCTGAATCTAGTGAATTAAAATTTTGATAAAAATTTTAATTTCGTGTAATAAAATCAAATCATCCATTCTGTAAACATCATTTTCACCATACATTATCTGTCCGTCCATTTAGATTTGTTTACACTTGGGTCCTCTAATTTTCCAAATGCATCCAATATGTGTATCTTTATTTTCGGCTGTATTACAACCTTATAGAATATATTGATATTATTGCTAAAAGTTCATTTGGACATAATTAAATCTTAGATCTGGTCATCCGCTTTCATATTAAATTTAGCAGATATCCGACGGATTTCACTACTAAATTTGTATCCAACGGATAACCAGGTCCGAGCTCTAGATAAAATGTTTGTACAATAACCTCTTTCACGAGAACAAATCAGAATAATTTGCAAATTAATAACGTCTCGATATCGATATGATTAGTGAGTATTAGTAGTAAGTGAGTATCATCAGGACGACCTGAGTGTGGGGACTTAGCTTTAGTATCAGATTAGTTGGTTGCCAATTAAAGTATGAGTATAACGTGAAAATCAAAATACTGATTGATTTTTGCCCTATAAAAAAAAAAGTTTCTGCGAAATTTGGATTAGTGGCTGATTAATTAAAGGGTATTGGTCTTATTTAATAAAAAAAAGAAATAATCAGTTTAATTTGAGAGTAAAGGCTTGCTTATTCTCTAGAATTTGATGGTTCTTCTCATAAAATTTTAGGGGTGGTTAAAAATAAAACGACAGCTAACCTTGATTGCAAAATTTACTACTTTTTTTACGAGTGATGCATTCGAAATGCAAACAAGAAGTCTGTGACAGGTTTTGTCGATCATTGCCTAGATCGATTGACATTGGCCCCAATTTAAGCTAATTTAAAGTTAGTATTAAGGTTGTAAAACCCAATCATTTCAAAATTTTGATGTAATTTACGATGCAACTTACAAGCAATTTTTATATGCTTAGTGACAATTTCTAAAATCATGTAAGTTATTGTGTAAGTTATTATGTAAGTTTACAACACTATATAGTATTAAATTAAGGTCAAATTAGGCTAAACAAGAATTTATAATTATTAGCATATGCCAAATTATGAGAGTATTTTTTTTTGTGTTAGCAGTTTCATAGCCAACGTTTTAAGATAGAAATTATTTTTTTTAATTTTGATCTTGATCGACAAAACCTGGCACAGATTTTTCACATGCGCTCAAATTAATGGTTGTCTATTTTCCGAGTAAATGGGAAAGAGAGATAAACCCCCCGATTAGCTCCATTCTAGTCCCCAATTAATTGGAACCTAACGGTTATTCTTCCAAAGTGGGAAACAAAAATGTAATATTTATTTAATGATTCTGCAAAAAATTCTGCGATTGGCCGGAATTACGTAAAGTCGGCCAGCATTATGATACGCAAATTCTGGCCGAATTAATATCAGCCGGCATTATGATGACTGTATATCCTAAATTCAGGCCAAAATTTAGGATGGTAGAATTAATTCGCGATCAGACGATTGTGGCTAGTGTTCCTTGGACCCGAACCGAAACCCGGAACCGACCCGGTACCGATCCAACAGATCGGATCGGTTTTATGGAATTGATTACTTCTGATTTTGATATAATCCGACCCGATAGAACCCGAACCAACCCGGTAGACAATATCCTCCCCATTTCTATTGTTACAAGTATGTCATATCTTCAATTAGACTTAATTTATCTGCGACTAATAAGAAATAAGAAAGTGAAACAAAATTAGTATATATAAAGGCGATAATTTAGTTTTTTCATTATTCTCATTATTCAATACATTGAATTTTATAATTCGATACATCGAATTTTATAACAATACCGAGGGAGGAAGGGAAGGAAGGTCGTTTATTGGTTTTGGGAGGGAAAAGACATTAACAGAAACTTTTAAATTTTTTTGAGATAAAAGCCGCCTTTTTTTTTTTTAAAGAAAAAAAAAATTTGAGAGTGGAAAGATATTATTAGTGAATGCTTTTTTTTTAAAAAAAAAAGTTATAATCATATTAAGGGTAGAAAGACATTAGCCGAGGCTTTTGCAAAATCTATTGGTTTTGTATTTCTTTGAAGAAAAGAAGATTGACAAAAAATGTCAAGTCCATCCGCATTGTCTTATGAAGTTAGAGAACTGACAGATGCATCATCCTATGATGAAACTCAGGAAGTAACGAATGTATTACCTTACAATGAAGCTCAAGAACTAACAGAAATATATTAAGTTCAGGAACAACCAACAGCTATGGCTAATTCAAATGAATCTGAAGGCAATGAGTCATCACTTACTACTGGTAGTGAGTCTTCAAGTACTACAAGGTAATGATTATTTAAAAAATTTAATTATGAAGTTATTACTATATACTAAGATATATTATATATAATTACAGGTCATTTGTATAGTTATATTTTGAAAAAAAAGAAAGTAAAGATGAATTAGTTGGAGAGTGTAGGTTTTGCAATAAAAGTTTAAAAATTCGAAAGAATAAGTCAACATCAAGTTTCAAAAGGCATCTTGCTGCTCATCATGAAAATAAAGTACCAGAATTAAGAATGCCGAATCAAGCACATAATGCTGTAAATTTTTGAAATTACATGTATATTTTCTAATAATATGTAATTTGTTATTAGAGTAATAATATGGAATGTATTATTTTATTAGAATACAATTTACAATCGTAAAATTTTTGATCCTCAAAAATTTACTGATCTTGTCAAAAAATGGGTAATTAAGCATAATTGATCATTTCACATAATTGAAGATGATGGTCTTAAATCAATATTTACATATTTAGAGCCACGTGCAATAGGTGCATTATTTTCTATTGCTTCCAAATTTTTATAGGCATAACTTAATCAGTATTAAAGAGATATTTAATTTTTTTATAGCACTATCATTAGATATATTAAGGTGACACATTACTGATAATTTTGAAGATGAACATGTTCAACTCCAAAAAAAATTACAGAAGGTTCCTGGTCATGTGTCACTAACAACTGACATTTGAACAACAGACAATAATGATAAATCATTTATGTCAGTTACAATTTACTATCTAAATAAATCTTGGTCAATAAAAAACCTTTTACTTGATTTTATCTATATGGATGAATGACATACGGGTATTGAAATTGCTGATGCAATGGAAGAATGTCTTCGATCAATAGGGATCACTTCAAAAATAATGGCAATTACACACGATAATGCATCTGCGAATGATAAGTTTTTGAAAGCATTTTTTAAATCAGTTTAAAAACTGATATTCAGTTTGATAGCACCCAACAATCTGTGCAATGTTTTACCCATATATTAAATATTGCCGTACAAACTATATTTAAAAATGTAGAAAATGAATTGAAGAAGATTATTAATTTTTATTCACATATACCTTAATAAAGTTTTTACTTACTGTATTTATTACATCGTATTATAAATTTAGTTGCGCGAACTAATAAAAAGTATTAGAGAATCGAAAATGCACAAAAAAAATTTAAGAATAATATGTCAAATGCACTGTATAAAGCCATTAAAACCAATTCTTGATATTTCAACATGGTGAAACTCCACCTACAAAATGTACAAACATGCAATCATACTACAAGTTGTTTTGGATTCTATTTCTTATACAGATTTAGACCTATAACAGTATGCACTTTCAGATACAGATTGGGACAAAATCAAGCTTCTTGTTATGATTTTGGTACCATTTAAAGATAGTTTGTGTTTTTATTTGATCTTTCAAAAAATGAATTACATATTTTTAACCTTATACTTAATTTAGCAACAGTCGAAATGTCAAAACAAAAATACCCAACATTGTTTATGGCAATTCCTTTTTATTATACATTATTAGAAACATTTAAAGAGACTGTGCAAAATGAAGATATGCTGCAATAACTTGTTGAAAGATGTGAAGCTGCAATGTCAAAGTTTTTGAATTATTGTTAGAAAACTAATATGTTAAATCTTGCAATAGTAATACTGGACTCACAACTTAAACTTAAGTACTTTGAGACAACATTCGGCTAGTTATCACGATTAATTCATCAAATAAGAAATATGTAAGTTTGTTAGAATATACAACAAATTATACAGTAAATAAATATAATAATGCTATATAAAATAATTTTTCAGTATTAGTGAGAAATATGAAACTGATTATGCGCCTGTTCAAAACATGACTTCTATGAATAGTGAATTATCTGAAATAAACATATTGTCTCGAATTTATAAATGATGACACATTGAACAAACTGAGTTAGATACATATTTATTTGTGCCATCAGTGGATCCAAGTGTTGATATTTTAGAATGATAGTGAACAAATGAATCAAGCTATCTAAATCTTGCAAAATTCGCTTGGGACTGCCTTCTGATACCAGCTACAAGTGTTCTGAGTGAGCAAATATTTAATATTAGTAGTAATATGATATCTGAAAAGCAAAATTGATTATCTGATAAAACAGTACGAACAGCAATGTGTTTAAGGTCTTGGTGGAGAGAATTAGATAGTTAACTAAATAGTTTTTCTGTTTTTAAACCAAATATTTAATAAAATTTACTGCTTTTAAATAAAGTATAAATAAATTAATTTTCATTACTACTATTTGTTTAATGGTTTTGGGTCAGTTTTGGGTTGGCCCCGGGTTGGTTACATTCAGTTTTGGATCGATTCTAAACTCAATCTGGGTTTTCGGGTCTTGTCTAAAACCCAAACTGATCTGGTCCGTAAGAAACACTAATTATGGCCCAATTAACAATCAATAACTTAGAATTAATAAGGCAGTAAATATAATTTGTAAGAAATATACTGATACAGCATACATATAATTTAGTACACAGCAAAATGATCAGCATTAAACTAATTAACACAGTGTTAAGGTATTGTCGAATTTATGTGAGGACCAGAAATTCTTTAAAATTTGTTGGTTAGGGTTAGAGATGGGTTTAATAGTAAAATCATACTGTGTTTTGAGAAATAAACAATTGTTGAAAAAGCAGACATTTGTTTTTGAATTTTTCTTTTTGTATAACTTTCGCCTGATCTTAAAATCTGATTTGTTTATAGCACAAAAATTTTATGTCTGGAACTTTTTTAGGGAAAGTCTCTGGACACCTACCAGCCCTCACAATTTGGGTAATTTTTGTACTTACCCTAAAGTAAAATCACATGAACTGGTAGGTGTCCAGAGACTTCTCCTTTTTTCAGTAGGAAAGTCTACAGACACATCATCACCACCAATATGTCACAACAAGTAAAGACCAAAAATTCTTTAAAGTTTGGTTAGGTTAGGGTTAGTCAGTATAATGTTAAGGTTAGAAGAGGTTTAATAGTAAAATCACTCAAAGAATTTTTTTGCTAGTGCACTAAAGGTGGTTTTCTATTAAAGTTTAAGTAATGGGTGATTTTTGACAAAGCGAACGTTTTTTTGAACTTTCCTTATTGTGTAGCATTCCACCTGCACCACAAAAATTTCACTTAATACAACATTTTGGTGATGATACTGAGGTAGTTCTATGGACTAGAGATGGAATCGGCTATGGCTATAGCTGACTATAGCTGTAGCTGATATTAGCCGAACTGAGTGGCTTAGCCGACCAGCTAGCCGATTCTAAATTTTAATATTCTGGTTGATGAAAATAATAATCATTGCATAATTAAGTATGCAATCATATCAAAAGGTCTGCATCATATCCGTGAGTCTGCACCATCTGATATATAGAGGAATTTATCTTTTTTAATTCTGGTCAAATTTGTAGATCATTTGGCCAGAGCTAGAACAAACCAATTTTAAATCTGATAAAATGATCTGCAATATGACCCATATGGGCAGAAATTTCAATAGTAGTTAAATCACTAGTCAGAAAAATTTTGCTGGCCAATCAGATTTCAAGATCTCATATAATGCAAAAAATTGCAAAAAAATCAAACCAACAAAAAAACACTCATAGCTCGAAATTTTGCCTATGAAAGCACCTTCTGCGTACTAACAAAAAATTTTTCTCATGAAATTTTACTATAACTATAACCTTTTAAACCTATTGATGAAACTCTAACTCTAAACTAAATTGCGAAACAATTTTTTCAATAAGATTATATAGTCTGCAAAATGTTTTAAACTGGTGATACTAGAACTTTAGAAATTTTCAATTTCTATGATAATTTCGATTGGACAATGAGATAAAATAGAATCTAAACTAATAATATATAAAGCATTGTATAATTACTAAGATTAAAAGTGATAATCAGTGATCATAAAATTGCTTTTGAATTACTTATAAGTTTTTATATTTTATTTATAAGTAGTAATTCAAACAGATTACTAAAATAACTCAAAACTAACCTAAATCAGATCAATTATATTACGAATTATTTTAGCCAGGCAGTTTATGAATATCACTATGTTATTAGAGTTGTTACAAGTTTACATTACATATAATTTTATATAAATTACAGAAAATCAAATTTCAGATTAACTTTTACACATTGTATATAAAGTACCAGATTTACAAAATTTCAATTAACATTATTGCATTAATTGGATTAAATATATGATCTGAAATGTAATACCTAAATCACTGAAAATTTGATTTCAGAAACTAAGCATATTCTTAAACATCTATCTCAATAAGCTTAGCAAAGAATCTAATTAGGTTGTCTAATTAAATCTACTAATAGATTTTTTGTTGAGCCTATTAAGATAAATGCTTAAAAATGTTCTAAATATTATGTATTCAAAATTACAATTACATAAATTTCAATTTACCAAATCTTAAACAAATGTAAAATTATATAAAATTATAATTATTTAACAACTCTATTTGTTATTACTTAATTTCAATAATCATATGCTTTAACTAAAAGTTTTGCTTATATGTATAGTTATAAATTTATAGTTTTTTTATAATTGTATGCATACCTAATTTAGTAAAATAGTAACTAGATCTTATTTTGATGTATACAAACTTTAATAAACTAAAAGTTAAGATCATTATTAAAATTTTAATAATTTATAATAATGTTTTTTTTACAATTAACAGTAATAATTCAATTATTTTAATTAAGAATAATTATAAATAATTTAGCATCTCTAAGTTAATTTGTTTTTTTAAGTTCACTAAGCCTGATAAACATATTTTTAAAAGTAAATACTATTTTATAAAATATTATTATAACAATATTGTATAATATAATTATTACAAAGTATAACAAACTATATCAAATATATTACATAAAAATATAAATTAACTTATTGTTAATTTTGACTTCAAGATAAATAAAACAACTATTTTTTTTGGTATTAAGGTGACTTCTTTGGTCTTTTAACTTTATTAACATATTTTTAAAAATGTAATTTTATAAAAAGCTACTAAAAAAGAGCAGACAATTGGCCACTTATATAACTTTTTATATTATCTATTTAAAAAGTCTGCTAATGTTTATTACAAATTGCTGTACCTAATTTCTCTGCTTGAATATTCTATTTAAACCTTTTGAACTTGTTCTATATTACTTTACTAGGTCAAGTTTGGATTCTTTATTCAATATTAGAATATTTTTATCTTTAAGGTAAACTTTTTAAAGCTACTATATAACTATTTTTGTATTTAACCCAGATATCACTATAGCAGAACTAACATTTGCAGTCAGAGCTAATCATTAAACTGCTATATCTTTGTAGAGTTTACACAGACTCCAGTATCTATTTTATAGCATATTCCTAATATTTTAGTATATTTCTGTTTTTTTTACCAAATTTTTAATCCAGATAGTCTATATAAAACTATGATTTGGCTATTGGTATATCAGGTTAGTCTGATATTCTTTTCTTCTGATCTGATCTGGCAGCCTAGTTGGTAATACTTTTGAGACTTTTAACCTAAAAATTCTTATCTGTCTAACTACTTTGGCATTAGTATCTGTTTCTTAGATCTAGCCTTTATAGTAATACTATTAAAAATCTATATTAACTCTTTATTTAGTTTTTTCAAATAGACTTCTTGTTTTTTAATTTTTATAGATTTATATAGCTACAAGGTCTTATCTTGGATTTGCACTATCTGATGCCAGTTTACATTCCTCTGTATAACCAGTTACACAAATGTACATAACTTGCCAGTTATACTAATGCAAATATAATTATAGATATCTTAATCCAATTATTAGAAACAGTTGTTATAATACAAGATTACATAGGTAATTATTAAAATTTTTTATAGTAAATAGGATTTAAACACTTAATCTATTACTTAAGAAGTTGACAATCTAACTACTTCACTAAATTATTACATTTCTCATTTTTTTAGTTATTTAGATACTACAAAATAATTAATAATATATAAATTAATTGTACTATTTAGTGCTCTAAATTGGATTAGGCTAACTCAAAACCTGACCTGAAATTTTGGGTCAGATCAGGTTCAGTTTAGAAAAATCTAATCTGAAAATTTTAGGTTAGGTTCAGTACGAGTTCTTGTTAAGTATTAACTTAAACTGAACCCAACCTAAGCTAACCAAAATTGTTCAATTAGAGATGTTCAAAATAAGCATTTTATATATTTTTAAGGGGTTCTAATAGCAAGAACATATGTTTATAATAGCAAGTACATATTTTTAAATAGTTTAAATAAAACTATTAATCAGATTTCTTCATCAAAATTATCATAGCAGATCTTTAATTTTGATTGGTTAATGATTGCAAATCACAAAATTTTGCCCACATTATATAATTTACCAATTTCTAGTCATAATATTGATTTTTTTTTATTATAAAAATAGAAATTTGGGAAAATAATCTCACATTATGATAAAATTTGCCAAGAAATAATAATAAAATTTGGAGTAATTCCAGCCAAATATTTTGCTTAGCACTCTTAGTTAATCAAAATTGAGAATT